GCCTGCTTCTTGGGAGGAAAGCAATGACAAACTTCGACAGCATCTTAAAAAGCAGAGACATCACCTTGCCAACAAAAGTACAAATAGTCAAAGCTATGGTTTTTCCTGTAGTGATGTACGGAAGTGAGAGCTGGACCATAAAGAAAGCTGACCACCGAATAATTGATGCCTTTGAATTGTGGTGCTGGAGGAGGCTCTTGAGAGTCCCCTGGACTGCAAGGAGAACAAACCTATCCATTCTAAAGGAAATCAACCCTGAGTGCTCACTGGAAGGACAGATCCTGAAGCTGAGGCTCCAGTACTTTGGCCATATCATGAGAAGAGAAGACTCCTTGGAAAAGACCTTGATGTCGGGAAAGTTTGAAGGCAGGAGGAGAAGGGGACAACAGAGGATGAGATGGTTGGACAGTGTCATTGAAGCTACCAACATGCATTTGACCCATCTCTGGGAGGCAGTGGAAGACAGGAGGGCCTGGCGTGCTCTGGTCCATGGGGTCATGAAGAGTCGGACACGACTAAATGACTAAACAACAACAATTATACTTGTACATTCTTTTCACACTTGACATATACATATAATGAGAGTCAGGGTGGGTTAGTGGATGGTTTGTTCAACTAGGACTCAGGAGGTATGGATTCAATGTCTACTTGAACATGGAAACATTCTCAGAAGTATCAATGGCAAACCAGTACTCAAACATCTCTCATATCTCAAAAACCACATCATGATCACTACATTACTCAGACTTGACACAACAACAACAACATCCATACTGAAGTCTAACTTCTGATCCTTGTCATAAACCATAGCATCTGTCCTCTCTTTATGGTATCAGTTCAGTTTTTTTACAAACATGCAGAGATAACCTACCTGACAATCCAAGAGGATGTTTTCAGGTTTTAAGTCCCTAAAAAGAAGGGAGAGGTTAAGAGGAGGAAAATATATGGTTTAAGTTCTGTTAGGGTTGTACGGAGAGGCTCTTATCCAGCCTCCTTAAGGGACTTGTACCTATCTGTTAAAAGCATTATAGAAAGCAGTTTCTGACTTGAGGGCAGGGCAGTCTCTTTGAAATTTTGGACTGAGACACATTCCTACTTGGTCCAGGAAGTGCAGTAAGTTCAGAGACATCTCTCCCAAACTAATGAAGCTGATCTGAAACATGGAGGAAGGTGCAAGACAGATGATGCACCCAGTTTTTCATTTCCTGATTATGCCAAGGTATGGGAAAGAGAGGTCCACTCATTGGGGGGGGGGGCACAAAGTGATGGCTCCTGTGAATTTTGACAGAAATTGCAAATAAATGGCCTGTGTCTGAATCAAATTATTGTACTAGAAATGATACATCAGAGATATTTTCAATCAATTCATATAGTTAAAAGACAGAATTCCCTGGGGGAACTGTTTAACATTCTGCATTAAAGGTGACACTGATTGTTGAAGTATTCTAAATTATTGTACAGGATTTGCACTCCTGTGAATTTTGACAGAAATTGCAAATAAATGGCCTGTGTCTGAATCAAATTATTGTACTAGAAATGATACATCAGAGATATTTTCAATCAATTCATATAGTTAAAAGACAGAATTCCCTGGGGGAACTGTTTAACATTCTGCATTAAAGGTGACACTGATTGTTGAAGTATTCTAAATTATTGTACAGGATTTGCAAATTAAGACAAATTCAAAATCATTTATTGGGGTAGTTTTTGCATGATCTTGGCACCTTAGATTCTCCTTGCCACTGAGATGTCATGCTGACCTGAGCTAGTTTATTCTGCCTTCTGGGCTTTTGCACTCTTTCCTCCTTCTCCTCCTGTACAGAAGGAAGCAAGCAGCTTTCAAAACTTGCTTATGCTTTTGATAAAACACAATTCGCCCTATTTTATAAACCCACAGACCATCATTAATCTTAAATATGGTTAGTCTACAACCAAGAATTGTTTGAAACTGGCACAAACAGTGGTGTTGTGGAACCAGAGCTCACACAATTAAAACCTCACACAATAGGAAACAATTCAATTCCATAGCATTGGTTCTCTTCCATAGCATTGACAATCCTTTCTATACAGTACAGTTTGTAATAAGCCTTAAAGGTCATTAGAGGTTGTGTCTGGGGGCAAGTAGACCACTTCAACGCCTTTTGTGTTGAACTCATGCCACTGGTTTGGGGCATGTATTTATTGAATAGTATTTATTCATAGCATTTATTGAATACTTATTGACTGATTGATAAAAATTTATTTATAACCACAACCATGCTGCTCAGGTCCCTGCAATTCAAGGGAGAAATGCAATGCGAAGTATTTTTCATGGCACAGTATTTATTTTGAATGGGTGACCAAGAGCCATTAACTTTACAAAAATCTGCTCTTGGTAGAAATAAAAACTGCTTGAACAATATGGATGGATCCCACTGTCTATAGAGGGGAGGGAACTAGTTATATGGCATCTCTTAAGGACCACAGGCACTTCCAAATGTAGAAATACACCACTGGATGCAGAAACCCAGTGCATGGCAGAAGACAGAGTGTGAACACAGATAACACACCATATTCGCAACATGCTTCAGCTGCTTCCTACAGCTGAAGACAGCTGGAGGAGATGAAGACTGCTGAGGAAACCTCCTTCCATGCCCTCTGCTAGTGGAATGCCACCTCTCAGTTTGTAGGACACAACTTGAAAAAACAACAACTGGTCTGTTAAATTCTGGCTGCAACAGCTACAAGTGTAAGCATGCAGAGGCTGGACTTTTATCAAGAACTGGTGCACAAAGGAGGCTGGAGAAAGCCAAAGGGACAATAATTATGTTAGGTGTTTTTGTGGCAGGAAAGAAAGGTGCCATAAGTAATGGTGCACAATCTGGCTACATGGTGACTAGTAATACTATGCAGATCTAATTTTAATGTTGCAATCCTTCTGTCAATATATATATCTATATATATCTGAAAGTGGAGTATTTTTGGTTTAAGAAAATTATTGCCATAAAAGAAGAAGGAAGGAAAGAAATAATATTTTCTCTGCTACAGTTCTTAAAATCTGATATACCGTATTCTTCTGTGTATAAGACTATACTTTTGTCGAAAATCTTTAGACTAAAAATTGAGGGTCGTCTTATACACCGAAGTAAACTGAGGAGAGAACAAAAACAACTGGAGGGGAAAGCAGAGATCAAAGCGATCCTGCAGCACTTTGATCCCTTTCCCTCTACACTTGTTAAGCCCCACTTAGATTTCTTAATTTTGGATTTAAAAAGTGGGGGCTGTCTTATACATGGGGCGTCTTATACATGGAAAAATACAGCATATGCATATGCAGATAGACAGACAGACAGAAAGACAGACAGACAGATAGATATAGATATAGATATAGATAATACTCCACTTTCAGATTAATATATCCCAGGAAAAGATATTATAAGAAACGTCTCCTGTCTGTCATACTATACTATACCTGTAAATGATGTTGAGTGAGTGGAGATAGCCAACTGCACTGGCCATTTCAGCTGCGTAGAAGCGTGCTCGTGGCTCACGGAAACAACGCTCTCTTTGCAAATGGAAAAACAGCTATGAACAGAAGTGAGAAATGTTGAATTTAGACCAGAGAGCTTTGCAAGTACCTTTCATCTCATGACAGCATCACTTTATTTTCTACCTTATGTTGTACTCTGAGGCTAACTGAGGAACACAGCATTAGAACACTCAGGGCCCTGCCAAAGGATACACTGAACCCATATATAGAAGCAGTGAACCCTTAAGAGGAAAACGCTATTTGTTTATACCAATATGAATTTGCTGCAATATGTATTTGGCAAATCAGCTTCCTTTTTATTTTTGTTAATTGATCAGTTTGGAAATAGCAGGGTCTGTCTGTTGTCTCAGGCAGCACGGTTTATGTGTTTGATGTTTCAAATATGCAAACTACATGAAAGGCATGCTTGCCTAGAAGGATAACATTGTAAGAGGAGGGAATTGGCTTTGGTCTTAAGATGTGATCTGACTCTCAGATTCAAAGCCTTTCAGGGACAGCAATGCCTATGATTCCAAGCTGAAAAATCTCCCAAGTCAAAGATATGGCAGGAAAAGACAGATAAAGCCCTTTGAACCAGACATATACAAAATCAGTGACAAGACTTTAAAAAGCAGAGTTTGAAACTGCCCCTGGCCAGTATGATGTTATGTTCTCTCTGATGAAAGACTGACGTGAAATTACCTCCCCTCCATTTACATAATCCAGTACAAAATAGAGTTTCTCTTTGGTCTGGAAGGAATAGTGTAGCCCCACAAGGAAGGGATGTTTCACATTCTTCAGTAGCACATTGCGTTCAGCCATTATGTGATTTTGCTATGAAAAAGCAAGAAAGGGAGAGTACTAAGCAAGTAAACAGACTACAATTTTGCAAACCAGCAATGACAAAAACTACATACAAGCTCATATTCATGATCCAATGACTTGGGATCAACGTTTCTTTTCCTTTCTCCTAAGCCAAGCAGCAACCTTTGTACCGGGAACATTTTCTTTGGGACTGGAATACAGCATATCCTGGGCAAATTGTCATTTTGCAACACATCTCTAGGAAATATTGTATGTAGAAAAATGTTTCCTCTGCACATGGGAGGAAAGACTTTAATCCCTCCTTTTCCAACATGCCACAGATACAATTGTGACCAGAGCCTCCAAAACTGCACTTTGCAGTTAATGAAATATTTATTCAGCTAAAAGTTCATGAGGGGTTTAGCATGTTAGCCAGATGTTGAATTTCACTTCTTCTTTGTTCCTGTCAGAAGCAATCTAATGATGATTTTGGCGCAGAAGGATCAGCCGAGAAAGTGCTATCATTCGCAAGGAATGCTCAATTGTGTCCACAGTCCTCATATTATTCTTCAGGGAGACTGTTTCTCTATCCCCTGTTGTATGTAGTTCACTAAGAACAAACCAAGTTCCCAGTTGAGCCAGGGAGGTAACTGGTAGAAGATAATTATTTTGTCCTGAATATTTAAAATCTCTTACACCTAAAGATTTCAAAGCAGTCTACAACTTAAAATATTCAGCAATACGTTTTGACGCCCAGTATTTATACTCAGACTATTAAAAGTTTTGCCTGTTGTGAATATAAAATAGAAACACATTTCACTCAATGAAATACAATACGCTAAAATTTATTTGACATCTGTTGACTGTTTGAAAGGCCATGTGTAGGAAGACAAGAAAAACTTGGTTCTGATGGAGAAAGGGCTCATATTTCAGGTGCAAATAAAGCTTTAAAAAAGGTACCTCTTTTTTCTTGAGGATGGACTTCTTCTGCAAAACTTTCACAGCATAGAACCTACCATCAGACTTGTGTTTCGCCAAAAGGACCTGTGGTGGAACAAAAGATCAAGGAGTTTGAAAGAGGATTGAATCCTAGTGTGCCTCGGTTTATGTTTACATTTCAGTGTCATGCTAATTTATCTGCAGAATGTGTACCAGGCTGAGAAGTATTTGACTTCATCTGATCCCAATGTACCAAGAAACAGAGCCTATTCCTACAGGATACTATGAAAAAAGGAATGAAGCCTAATTAAATCATTTTAGATGTCAAGGTATCTAGAAGAACAGCAGTGGCTTATAACTGACTAATAAACTGAATTTTGTGGAAGTCTATTGCTTCCATATTTGAGCACATATGTAAAATGAATATATTTGCTTTGTTTTGTTTAAGAAACAATGAACATGTTCATTTGAATTTCTGAATGGGGCCCTCATCTAGAACAGACATTTTAAAACTGAACCCTAACAGCAGAGATTTTTTTAACTAGTGTGCCTCCAGTCTCATGGTTTTAAGTAAAATTATTATTATTACTTTAGTTTATTTAAAGAGTTTGAACTTTAATTGTATAAAATTTATACAGTTTTAATAATGTAGCAATAGCAATAACATGATATAAATTCTGATTTATAACAACCATTTACAGGGTTTTCTAGATAAAGAATACTCAGAAGTGATTTTCCATTCTCTCCTTCTGCATGTGTTCTGGGACTGTACAGCTTACCAAGGCTACCTAGGCTGGCTCTTAAGACATACAGGGCAGGCGGATCATATTCCCTCCTTCTAGTTCTGCAGCCAGATATAACTGAATATAATTCTATTTTAATGTCTGTCATTTTATTCTGTTTTAGTCAGTTTTGAATTGTCCTGTAAGCCACCTTGGGCCCCAATCCTGGGAGTAAAGTGGCAAACAAAAGAAAATAAATAAATACATTGCTGGGATTTAGTTTGGGGCCATGAAGCTGAGGGTGGCTTTGTGCCAACTCTTTCCTTCTGTACTATTTTTTCAAACCAAAATCACTTCTCCAGCAATTTGCCCTGTAGGGAAGGGCATACAGGTACTCTGCAACTAATATATATGGCTGGTGCAGATAAGCTTCACCAGCTTTACCCTTGTAGTGAACAGAAACTTGGATTCCCCAAGTCAACAATCTAGTTCTCATTAAAGAGAAAACCTGCACTGCAAGTTCAAATGCTAGTGCAAATGTCACCAATTCAAGAAAATCCAACTAGACTAGATATCAGCTTCGAACTCCAAAGCTGATAGCATTTTATTAATCTAGGGATGGGATTCCAGTAAGCTTTGTGCCTCCACCATCAGAAGCTTCTGTGTACTTTCCAGTTACCAATAACAAAACAAGATACGCTACAGTGCAACATACAGAAGGTGAGAAAAGCTGTGCTAGTACAGACATCTTAACAGTTGAAGGAACTCATCTTCTAAAAGTGAAGCTCCTTCTTTTGCCTACTTTGACCTTCAGAAATCATGGATTATCCACAAAAGAGAAACTAAAATCAGGATAATGGATGCTAAACTCAAGAGCAAGTGACACAGAAATGTTCCAAGTTGGTCACTTACTTTTCCAAAACTACCTTTGCCAATTATCTTTAGGAAGTCAAAATCTGTTGGCTTGGCACTATTAGGAAAAAAGAGAAAATAAAATAAAATGAACAAAGTTCTTGTGCTAAATCAGTTCATTTCTCCCACTTCTTCCCACCCAACTTTTTTGCTACTTGAGATAAAGGACAAGATACATCCCCAACACTCATTCCATTACATCTACAGAAACAAACCAGACTAACTGCTGAAAGTTACTTTAACATGGGCAATAGAAGAGTATCTCCATGGAAGAAAGCTAGTCCAAGGGTAGCACACAGCTCTGTCCTTCAGCATCTTCTTATTCCAGCTTCTGTAGCTTCACTCAGAGTAACGGCATAGCCAGATCTGCCCTCCACTGAGAACAAAAATGTACAAGAGTACCCCCTATCCATGGGATCAATATCCACTGATTCACTTATTCGCTGCCTGAAAACACTAAATAACACCCCCAAGGGGTAGTTATCAGAACTAGCCATGATATGGAGCCAGAGATCATGCACTATATAGCATTCAATATTTCTGACGTTTTCAGTGTCTGACAGAGGGGGAGGCTTGATATTGCAGTCCTACGGTATATTCGATATGGAGCCAGAGATCATGCAATATATAGCATTCAATATTTTTTGAAGTTTTCAGTGTCTGCCAAAGGGGCAGGCTTGATATTGCAGTCCTACGGTATATTAGAGAAAAATACATCTTTCACTTTTTCTGACTTTTTAAAAAAATCTCAAGCTTTTTAGATAACCAGTATTTAGCAGGGAATGCACAGCCCTATCCTTTTTTGCTTCTCACCACCACTAGCAGCATATTAGCAGTGGTTAAAAATAAGACTAAAAAACACTAAAAATAATATTTGCAAATTGCCTTTGAAAAAAGGAGTATACTCTTTCATTCCTTGTTTACTAAAACAAGGAATGGAGTATAAGCCTTTTTTCAAAGGCAAATTGCACTCACAGACATGCAATTCCCCAGTTAAAACAAGGTGTGCACCCTGACATGCCTTGTTTAGAAGCAAACATGTTACAGTTGTTGGGTTTTTAAAATAATTCTGCCACTACACTGTTGAATTTCAGCAGTATACAGAAGTAAAGATGTGTGGTTCCAGATGTATCTGCCAAAGTTGTTTTCACTGCTCCTGTAAGAGAAGACTTTCACAGAAATTCAAGGCAATTATTTAAGATAACCAGTCAATTGAGGAGCTGGAAGCACAATTCCCCTGCATTCATTGGAACTGGAAAATGGATATTTTGCATGTCCTTACTTGGGATTAGCAGAAGGCCCAAGGTTGATGTTATCAGTTGGCAACGAAAGCTAAAAGTAATAAACAAGCAAACAGCTGAAGTTAGAGAAGATGTAGTTATGCCACCATGTACAAAAAAAGTTGGAAATGTTTACTTTTTTGGACTATAACTCCCAGAGTACCTCAGCCAGCTTGGTCTATGGGCAATGATATTCTGTGAGGTGCTATACACAAACACAATTAAAAACATTGCACTATAACTTTTCGGAGCTTTGGCTCAGAGCAACAGTCAACCAAGGGAAGATGGAATGTGTTGGCGCAGAGTAAGCAGGTTTCAGACTCTAGTGCAGCTGACAAACTTGTTTAACCTTCTGTTCCACTGACATCCCAAGATGGTTAAGGAAGTAAGCTCCTTATACTCACCACCTTAAGATTTGACGCCAGCTAAATACATTTAAATGAGATGGTGCCCAGGCCTTACCTCGCTGTTAGTATCTGGGCTTTTTGTACGGTCCATAAAGGTGGCAACTCTTTCAGCACTGTGAAATAAAAGGTGTTTGTTACTTGAAAGCAGGGGACAGACTGACAGATCTTAACTCTCCACTTCCACAGAAAGAAACTTCAAGTCATAGCTCTTATACCAATTTGGATGTCAATTTGGCTGCATTGAAATAAAAACTGAAGAACCAACTGATTCATTGTGTATGCTGTCAAAGCAAGAACTGAGGATTTGCTTGTATTTTGTGGCAGGCCTGCAAGATCTATACCGGTTTTTGCTTTGCTTTGTGTGTTGTAGTTTTTTTAACAATACATGGAAATCTACCAAATGAATCCTGGTGCAACTGACTTAAAGCAAAAGAGCTCTAAGCCCAGTACCGTATTTTTCGCTCCATAAGATGCACCTCTCCATAAGACGCACCAAATTTTTAGGAGAAGAAAACAGGAAAAAATAATCTGCTTTCTTCGCTCCATAAGACGCACAGACTTTCCACCCCCCTGTTTTGTGGGGGGAAAGTGCGTCTTATAGTGCGAAAAATACGGTAACTTTTTTTCTAGAACAGGATTGAATGGGGGCCTTTCCACCTGAAAATGTATTCCTATTCTCACAAACTTTCTTCATTCCAGCATTATAATAAGAGGGGGAAGGGGCTGTCATTTTGCTGCAGCTATTGACGAACAACTGGGAGAAAAATGTCTATGCCAATCTACTACAAATTATTCCTCAATAAATCTGCTAGTTGATCCATATCTACCTTCTGCCCATATGAGAATGACTTGGATCTGTCCTCTAAGAAAGTTGATTGGAACTGTTAGCTAAACTATTAATATTCATTAGCTAAAGAACCTATCCCCATTCCCACTTCCAGCACAGAGTGCTGAAAAGCAGAGATAATATAAGCACTGTATGTGCTGTGCTGTTTGTCATTCCAGCATCCCATTCCAGATACCATACTTCAGGGCTAAATATGTGTACAATGAAAAGATCTGCAATTAAATCTCTGAATGTCTTTTTCAAAGTTTAAAGCTCAGTCTCCACAGGCAGATCAACTCTTTCCAACTAGCATCCTCCCCACAATCAAAATCTCATTCCAATTACTCTTCCAAGGAGAGATAGTGCTCTCTTCCTCTCCCCCCACCCTGCCACTCCCATGGGGCTACTAGTCAAGGAAAAGGATACTAGAACATTGAATAAAAAAGAAGCTGCCTTGCACCTGTATCACCTTCTTGGCTTATACCTGACAGACAAACTTGCAAATCAAACATAAAATAAAATACATTCGGATCAGAGTTTGGAAAAATTACTTTTTTTGGACTACAACTTCCCCCATCCACCATGTAGCATGCATGCTGGGACCTGTAGTCCAAGCAGCACATTTCCAAGCACTGTTTAAAACTTATTATAGCACACTCCACTCTTCTTAGTAAGAAGCTAAGGAGAGTGTGTGGCTTTCAGAGCTGGTTGCTTCCTTCATTTTTTAAAGTCGTATAGCACCACAATGTGCCACACTGAAAGGATACCAGACCTTCAAAGAATCTTACTTTCAGTAATCTTATTTAGCAAGAGTACTTACATCGGCATGGGAAAAACCTCTTGTTAGAAGCAGAATTGTGCAACGAAGCCATATTGAGCCACAAGTCCCAGTTTGTGCCAGAGATGCTCCCCAGTGCATCTTGCCTTGTACCAGCTAGCTCAATTCACAGCTTGTCGCTTGCAGGAAGGGGAGGCTGAGTTTAAAGTGACAGCCACACCACTGGAAAAAAAAATCCTATATATTTACACACACATTCACACACACTACATTATACTCACTAGGAGGACAACCTGGAGCTGGAAGCCTTGACCGTTTGTTCAAACTTCTCTCGCCCTTGTTTTAGGAGATCTGCAGGAATGGGAGGGAAGAGAACATGTTAGCAAATGAAATAAGCTGTTCAACTAGCAAGAAGCAGCATATACAGAGACCCATTTGTTCTGAAGTGACCTTGCTCTTCGCATCCATTCACCCGCCCACATGTCAAGATAACCAGGCTTTATGAGAGCTACGGGTAGACTCCACTGCGCTGGGAAAGAGTTTCTAACCTGATCTGAGTAACTATGCAGAGCAGAATTCCAGACCCAGCAAGGGCGATGTCCCATAAACAACAGATTCCAGTCTCCCTTTCCAAGGATATTATCCAGAACTGTCTTGCTTCTCTGTGAGACATAGGTCACAAGACAGAAAAGCTACCCTTTGATACATCATACTTGGCACCCACTCAGTTCCTCTCATTCAAAGCTTTCCGAGCATTTTATGAACATGAATTGTGCATAGCCGTACAAATGCTTTCTTTCTCTCTCTGAATACAGCAGACTGCTTTATTCAAATATCTCGGGTATACTCCGAACTGGTCCAATAGGATTCAGCACAATTCCGACCAATACCTGCATTTTCTTTATTTTGATTTTTAATAGATCAGTTTTTAGTGCAAAAACAACACAAAAAATTTTGCTTAAAGAAAAATCCTTACAGAACAAAGTGTCATTTTAATTTTAAAAAGAAAACCAACATTTAACTAATAGTGGCACCTTTAAGATGAACAGGTTTATTTCAGTGGGAATACAAAAACACACACTGAAATAAATTTATCAGCCTTAAATATGCCACTGTATCTTGTTCTTCTAGTTTTTGAAATGGGCTACCCATCTCTCTGAGAACTACTACAATTGCTAAAAAAAATTCTTGTGGCTTTATGTTACATAATATCCAAATAGTCAGAAGCATGGAAATGAGTGAGTTGCCATTACTTTTTAGGTACATCAAAAGATGATCAGTAACCAGTCTATAAACAGAAGCACTGACACAGCACTTGATGCATAGGTTGTCAATTAAAAATTAATTTATATACAATTAATTTCATTTATGTTGGTAGCATCACCCATTATAACGGAGAGAAATTGAAAGGACCTTAGGAAAGTTAATTTTAGAACTTGGCTGGATCACATATAGGAAGCAGCATTATCTGAGACGCTGACCCATACATTAAGGGTTGAAAAAGTAACCAAAAGAACAGATCAGTTCATTTCAGCATAGTATAGCTTCATTGTATTTGCAAACTCAGCTAAGACATCATGTGGACCACCAAGGAAACATTTAAAATTTTGGAAAAATCACTTTTAAAGTTTCAGGTTCACCTGGATTGAACTTCTGGCTCAACTGGACTGAAGACTGAAACATAAGGCCATGGCTAATGGTTCACAGTTTAACATTTGTTCAAATTGTTCAAATTGTTCATAAACATATATGTTGATTGTTATAGTAACTGTTTCGAACATCCGATTATAAAGAAGCAATGATAAAAACAACGCAACTGCTTTTGAAGGAAAAATGTGTGTAAAAAGGAACCATAAGAATATATATGTAATTCTATGTATAATTTTATATGTATAATTTTTCCATGCTTGTATGAGAAAACAATTAAAAAGAAAATGGATGAGGAAATGAATGATACTAGGTTATCTCTTCATCTTTGCACTGTTCTGCCATTTAAGAACACTTGAAATCTGAGGCACACTATCCTAAGTGAAAGCCCCCAAACAGCAGAATAAAGAGCCACCTACACATGTCAAATTTGCCTGTGGGGTGGGCTGAAATTAACTAGATTAGAATTTAATCTAGGAAGTATCATCAGTTCAAAGGAAGCAGCACAGGCTACAGGCCAACTGAAACTCCCAGAGCTTCAAATACAGCCCTCAGCACCTTACGAGGGGCCAGCCCCCCCCAACCATACAATGATATGATTTTTAAAAACTGAGCACTAGAGGACAGATCATGGCCACTGGTCCCATCACCTCCTGGCAAATAGAAGGGTAAAATATGGAGGCAGTAACAGATTTTACTTTCTTGGGCTCCATGATCACTGCAGATGGTGACTGAAGTCTGATGGTGCTGCTTGTCATCTACCTCCCTTTTCTCTACTTTGTCCAAAGAAGAATTCGTCACACGAATAAACCATAAAACTGGTTTATTGTTTAACATGACTTCTTTGATTTTTTTTGGTCTTTTTTGTCATCATCCAACTTCAACAACAAGTCATAAGTCTTTCCATTATTAAAACTGGGCATCTCTTCATGGTAAGACAATGGGGAATAACTGTTAACTTCCTGGGTCCATTTGGGTCTGGCACCCATCAGCTCTGGTGTGTTCTCAGCCCACTTCAAGTTTGTAGATGGGATGTCGTAGTTCCCTGCAGTCCTCCATTTGTTGAGCCACGTATCTTTCTCTGTCAGGCTTTGAAGGGGCTGGGCCCACAGGACTTCTCGGGAATCACTATACATTTTTGCCTTTCTCTCTTTTGTTCTTCTCTCTTCACCCACGCCCTATATTCCTTCCTTTGCTTTCGCTCCTCCATCTCCCCCCAGCATGGTGGCTTTCTATACATTTGTTGCCTACATTCCCTTTTGGCGTACTCACGAGTTACCTTGAACTCTACCCACTCTCCTGTCCAAGGTTCTTCTTCGATCAACTCTACTAGCTCTTCCTTTTTCTATCCTTTCTCCTCTCTTCCCCAACATGCTTGTCCTTCCCCCCTCCTTCTCCCCCTTCTTATCCTCTTCCTTTCCAGCCCGATTTGTCCCCCTTTTTGCCTCTTATTTTATTTCTAGTTTACTTAATTCCTTTTCTGTCACTCCTATCTCTTGTGCTTCTTTCTTTACTTGAGAGGCAGACGGTACACTCTCCTGATCCTGCTTTTGAATTGTGGGCTGAAGGAGACTCCTGAGAGTCCCCTGGACTGCAAAGAGAACAAATCTATCCATTTTGAAGGAAATCAAGCCTGAGTGCTCACTGGAAGGACAGATCCTGAAGCTGAGGCTCCAATACTTTGGCCATCATGAGAAGAGAAGACTCCCTGGAAAAGACCCTGATGTGAAGGCAAGAGAAGGGGACAACAAAGGACGAGATGGTTGGACAGTGTCATCGAAGCTACCAACATGAATTTGACCCAGCCCCGGGAGGCAGTGGAAGATGGGAGGGCCTGCCATACTCTGGTCCATGGGGTCACGAGAAGCCGGACACGACTTAACAACTAAACAACAACAAAAACTAGAGGACATGCTAGGGCTTTTGGGGGGAAAGTCATTTTGAAGGAAACTATATTTTCCAAGTATCTGGGGAGTCCCCCTCCCGTACTGTACTTGTAGTGTCATCTTAGTGATGCTGGATCAGGGCCAGTATCACAAAAGAGGGATGAGGAATATCATAGGCATTTAAAAATACTTTTGCACCTACAACAGGCAATGAATTCTGGGGAGTAACCTGGAAAAAAGCCTCTGGTGGTTTTGGTGGAGGACCCTTCCCATCAAGCTGTGACATCACTACCTAAGCCACAAGTGGTGTCATTCAGTCTAAAAGCACTATCTTTTTGATGCACCTCTACAGGATTTTCATAAGTGGATTTACCTACAGCCCTTATAGAACCTCTTTCCTTTCCCCCCATAGCTTTGTTAGGGCCTCCAGTTTAAATGTGTACTTCAATTAAAAATGTGTACTCCAAATAAATATGTACTTCAATGTCTTATTCTTCTCACCCCACAGTGAGAGTTCAGGGACAGAAAAAGAGAGGCATGCGGAGGTGAGGACAAGAAGAGATGCTGGCATTTACACAGGTAGATCAACACATATTCAGATGCATGCAGTAATGTGCCTTCCATTTCATCAACTGCTTTGATTGTATTCCTGCACTGATCAGTGGGTTGGACTTGATGGCCTTGTTGGCTCCTCCCAACTTCACTTTTCTATGATTTCTTTGAACTGCCTGAAGCATTTCCCTCAACTGCAACAATTCACTGTGATTACACCAATTTCACAGGGACATTTAGCTGGACATCTGGAAAGCCTATATCAGTGATGGTGAACCTATGGCACACGTGCCACAGCTGGCACGTGGAGCCCTTTCTTCTGGCATGTGAGTCACTACTCCCCCCCTGCTGCTGCCCCCTGCGCAACCAAACCTCATGAGGTGGCTGCAGCTGGGATTCCCCCTTCCTCCGCCGCCACTTCCAGTTCCGGTCTTCCGGGTCTGTCGCTGCCACTATTGCAGTGGCGGCACACCACCCGCTGCCCCAACCATTTTGGGCACGCAAGCCCAAAAAGGTTCACCACCACTGGCCTATATTGACTTGAATATGTAGTATACATATTCAAGAAAACCCTTGATGATCTTTTTTCTTATTCCGTTCTTTATTTTTTAATTTACGTTTCTGCTGTAAAGTTTTAAAATTACATTATTGTTTTTACTGTAAGCCGCCTAGAGTGGTCTAATATGATCAGATAGGCAGGATAGAAATAAAATAAATAAATAAATAAATAAATATTAGCAAAGCTATACCGATTTCACAGGGACATTTAGTTGGACATCTGGAAAGCCTATATCACTGATGGTGAACCCATGGCACATGTGCCACAGCTGGCATCGCTGCCACTATTGCAGTGGCGGCACACCACCCGCTGCCCCAACCATTTTGGGCACGCAAGCCCAAAAAGGTTCACCACCACTGGCCTATATTGACTTGAATATGTAGTATACATATTCAAGAAAACCCTTGATGATCTTTTTTCTTATTCCGTTCTTTATTTTTTAATTTACGTTTCTGCTGTAAAGTTTTAAAATTACATTATTGTTTTTACTGTAAGCCGCCTAGAGTGGTCTAATATGATCAGATAGGCAGGATAGAAATAAAATAAATAAATAAATAAATAAATATTAGCAAAGCTATATTGTAAATTCATAATGGTGATTCAAAGTGAGTACTACCATTACTGTCCAAGTTCTCCCTTGAATTGTACGAGTTCAAGCAGCATAGTTTTGGTTATAAACAGATTTTTCAAAGAAATAAATATTCCAT